ATTATCATAGAGCCGTGACATTTCTGGCATCCTTCTGAAGCCTCAAATCTGATAAAAACAGGGATAAATCTGATCTCTGATCTTCCTGATGAATATGATAAGACCTGCTCCAGGTTAATGGACCTTGACACCTATCAAGGCCTTTGGAGCCACTGATCCCGGATCAGAGGTGGAAGATACAGCAGAGGTGAAGTAAGAAGGAGTAAGACCCAAAGGGGGGAGGGGAGGATGGGGCTTGTGGAAGCTGCCCTGGAGAGTTGCTCACAGGCTGTGCTTGGGTGACAGCCATGGCTGTTTGACGGTCCAAAGCTCCATGCAAAGCCCTCCTCATTTTTATTCACACACTCACTCGGGCACACAGTCTCACACACACAACTTTCACTTTCTCATCTCCTGTTTTTAATTCCACGATCCTATCTCCCTGTGCTTCTCTTTCTCTTATAGACTCTTTTTTTGTCTGTATTTTCCCCCTCCATCTCTTGCTCTCTCTCTCTCTCTCTCTCTCTCTCTCTCTCTCTCTCTCTCTCTTTTTCTCACTCACAAACACACACAAACACACACACACGCAGACTGATATATGCAGGGATCTGGGGGATATAGGGGTGTGGTAGAACTAGTGATGGGGCTCTGCTTTGATGCCCAGTGGGAGATTACATGGCCAAGAAGAAGAGATAAAAGTACAACCAAAACACAGGTATCTGCTCTTGCTTATGCCTTACAAACACATTCACACATATGCCTCCACGCATCCATAACACATGTTCAAGGAAGACTGGGAAGCACCTCGAGATGCACACTCACTCGCACGCAAACAGACACCGAACTGCGTACACACCTAATGGCTAGTCGGTGACACAGAGGTCTTAGCCCCTGTCTGCCAGTCCTTATTTGTTTCCCAGCCCCTCCTCTGTGTGTAGCAGCAGCACTTGCTACTGGGTGTCTTGTTACTCCTCAGAAGGTCTATTGATTTAACTCTTGCCACAATCTATAACACTATTGTCTTGCCTTAAGTGTCTCATCTGTACAATACACTGGCAGGAGTCTATACATCAAAAACCCCGCCTGCTTAAGGATATTGGTATTCTGAAACATGCTGGGATTACTTTTTTTTTTTTTTTTTTTTTTTTTTTAGTGACTTTCCCATTTTTTGTTGCACACTCAACCTTACTTTTTTTTTTTTTTTTTTGAAGCAGAGATGCTCGCAGCTAAGCACAACACTGGCTGGGACAGGTTTATTTTTACTCGTGTTTATGAAGTCAATATTTTTCTTTTGGAGTATCATAAAGCAGAGGAGTATTGCATAAGTTTAGCAGTGCATTGCAATTTCTTTTGGGACGTGGACGAAACATTCACCCTGAGTTGAGGGATTTAAGAAAGAAACATCAGGTCAAGAAATGGCAGCCTTTAGTTAAAATATGCTTATTTAAATGTAGCTGCACAAATATGTTTGCCTGAATGGCTGGGTTAGGTTCTCGAAAGGCTTTCAAGTTTATTGCCACATTTGTTTTGAGTCGAACCTCAACTCTGTTTTGTTTTGTTTGTTTTTTTCATGTGTTCTTTGCATTGTGTTGCAGTATGAGCAAGCCTTTTCATCCTTTCTGTCAAACCTACCTAAAGGCAACAAATCATCACAGTAGTCTGATAGGAAAAGGCAATCGCCTTTTTCTGATATGTGAAAAATGCTTTCTTGTAAGCAGCCCACTCTCTCAGGGATTCGGCTTATACTCTGATTATAGGTTTTCATCGCCGTAAGAATCACAACTATGGTAAATGCAAGCATCTACATTGGTATTCAGTCGTTCTGAATGTGACAATTTTGCGCACTTTAGCCTTTCGTTCGCAAATCTCAAGGTTACTTTTAAAAATCTGAAGATCTGAGTACTGGTTGCCTTTAGCGGGCACCTCATTGGACTTTCCACTTTACTTTAGGTATTATTTGAAGTCTGGAGAATGTTTAGAAATGATGGCTGAATGACTGAATTCTCAATAGCTAAAATCAGAGATGTTTTTTTTTTCTATCTGTGTAGGAATATGAACACTTTTGATGATTTGCATGGTAAATGTTTCAGCTCTAAACCTGTTCACTGATGCTCAGTTTCTGTAAATTAAAAACGGTTGAAACTGTTTTTTTTTCATGGTGCATTATTCTGAACTATTTATATTTTTTTATCAGTATTTTTGTTGAAAAGTTGTTTTTAATTCACATGTAGTTGTCAGTCTTTAATTGGTGTTTGCCTGGCAACATCAAACTCAACATCAAGTACCTTTCAGAATGAGCGGTAAACCCCCAAATTTTCCACCCTGGTGCTATAAAGTCCGAATTCAGATTCAATCTTATCTCCAGTTTAACTTTAAAAAATGAATTTTCTTCTGGCATGCTTTAGATTTGTATATATTCTTTGATTAACCACAATCTTAAATCACCAAATTTCTCTTCCTAACACAGACGCCCACAAGTTTTATTTGACAAAACAGAGGGGTGTTTATAAGTGCCCATGATTTCATCTACATTAGGGAGAGTCCAGTTCCACTTCAAGAAAAGTGCCCCAAAAGCCCCAGGCTGCAGTCACCATATTTCATAGTGCTCTTCTGGTGATGTTGAGGTTTAACATCCTTTGACCATACCGCATTCCTAAAGGTTTTGGATGTTACTCATACTGTCGAGAAAACTAAAAGAGAGACACAATGTGTAATTGCTTTCTCATTTTAAGCTCTAGATTGAGACATCCATTGCCCTGGCATTGACCAAAATTATAACTTTAAAAAAACAGTAACTACGGGCAGATGGGTGATAGATGTCGACTTCCTGGGTGGATAACCAATGAAGACATTATTCCCACGTCAGTTAAGAACTTTTAAAATGCGACTTCATGTAAGCGGTCTTTCACCCGGTTAACTTTTAAAGAGATAAATTGCTCATCTAGTATAGACAATTGCAAGTCCATAAATTATCAGATGTCTGTTTGGCACAGTTTTGTTGTTATCCATAACTGTCTGCTTTTCATCTCCGTCTGCCTATCTAGCTGTCTCCCCATAAGATTTTAGACCTTGAGTCACACGCAGATGGGATTGTCACTGCGAGGGCCTCTGTGACTGCGGAGACATTAGCAGTGCAACCGGTGGGAGATGCATGTGCCTCATCCTTGTTACTGTGGTTGAGCTCAGCAGGATATGACACAGGCCCAGCAGGAATAGGCAGTGATTAGAGAGAGTCCGGGTTATGGAGATGCCGTAGGACTGGTAAATGATCAGAGGTTCTCATTAGGAGCCACTTACACACGATGGTTGTTTTTCCCCATGTTGGTATGCAAGCGTCAAAATGCATCTTCCTGTGGCAAATTCCTACAGTTTGCAAGCTTATCTTTCTATCGAGCCTTGCCAGGACATATTCACAAATAATTTATTCGGCCTCTGCACTGGTCGTTAATATTTGCTGTGAAAATCAAATTCTGTTGCTGTTTGTGTTGCAGGCATGAATAAAAACATGAGGGTGATATTTTTTTTTTTTTTTTTTCCCAAGGCAGAATAATGTGCCATTGGTGCTATTTTCTACCCCCCACCTCCTCCCCTCCCTCTGGGGGCTCTGTTGCCCTAAAATGAAGCTGGTCAGATCGGGAGTGATAGGTTTCCATGCAGCTAGGTAGTAATGCATGATCACTACCTAGCAGCACACTTTCTTCGCCTTGTTTTTCAAGTCACTCTCTCCTTCACTGTATCACTCCTGCCTCATTTTACCTTGGCCTAAACCTGCAAGTGGGGTAAAAAATATATATATATATTCTAAAACTCGCCCATTTGTGGTGATGAGAAATTACAGCAGCAACAGATTTTGCTTTTTTTTTTTAATATTAGTTTATATTTACTGTACTTTCAGGACACAGGACACATGGGTGCACTATATTAAATTCACAAGTACAACATTAGACAAAAGTTTTGCAACATTTTTTTAAGGCCAGTATTATGTAAAACTGGTTATTTGTTAAACTTTTACATCACCTTATAATCTTATCCCCTCATCAAAAACATACCTGGAGTGGCGCTTTGATTCTTTCATGCATGTTTGAGGAATCCTTTAATCTCCCGTGGCAGCTGTGTAAAGTGATCAGAGAGACCGAACGCCACCTTGGATGACGAAGCTCCTCCTGTCGAGCTACGGTTTCCGATCTAGGCTTCCGCATTAGAGAGCTCAGCTCCTCCAGACTGGGAGCAATAACAAGCAAACACCTGGTAGGATTGCATCTCTGCTGAGCTCATTGAACAAGCTACTTCTTCTGGTAAAAGTGCTGTGAAAGGGTTAAAGGAGGAGCGATGTTTCGACGACTTCCTGAAGGTGGAGTTTCAGACGGAGCAATAGTTTCTTCCAAAGAAAGAGGCCCAATTTCAAGGTGCTAAGTTATGAAGTCAGATTTCTTTTACGTCATATTTGATATGTACAGCATGTTTTCTAACAACTGAAGGTAACATAGTTTTTTGATTGTACTATAAAATGGCACCATGTGCCTGGAAAATACATAACGCTGTCCCTTTAAGAAAATAAAACAGGGTAACGTTTGCATAAATATTGATCCACATACTGTCCCTTAGCAAGTCTGAATGTGCAGAATATTAGAATATTGCAATTCAGATTCAATGATTTTATATATATATATATATATATATATATATATAATTCAGATTTTATGTTTGTCCAATTCTAGGGTAGCCCTAATGCCAAAAAAGCATAATGTCTCCCTTGTTGCTTCCGGTCTGTGTCGGGAAAAGAAAAAAAGTGCTTTTCTTGCTGGAATTATTTTCTTAAGTTTATTGCGAGAAACTGTTACGATGTGTTTACTCCGGGGCTATTTCCCTCTTGCTACGCCGAGGAATTCATCCATTGGTGATTTTTAGGTGTGTTCAGTTAATTCTGGCACTTTTCTTGCCTCTCTTTTGAAAACCAATCCTTGTGTAAAAATCTTATTCTAAGGAGGAAAATGCACAAATAATTGAAAAGAGTTGCAAAGTGAAGTAAATTATTTTATTCATGTAGTTTATCTGAACTTATCAGCATTACAAGAAACAAATCACGTAGAATTAATTGCCAAAATGAACAACAGAGACACGGAAACGATTTTGCAAAGATGAAATACTTTGATCCATTTCAGCTTGTGCTTCAGACCTGCAGAGAGGAAAAAAAAGAAAAAAAAAAGAAATCGAGAAATAGGAATGGTCAAGGTGAATTCAACAACAGACGTTAAATGAGACATTTCTTTCTGAAATCAATTTAATGTTTAAATCCTTAAAACTGCAGCAATTTATGGACACGAATGCAGCTGCTGTGATAACATCTGGCTCCGACACAATGACGGTGAAAAGTTTAGAGTGAGGAGAGCGAGGAAAGAAGCAAAACACAAGTTAGACATGATACGAAACATGACTGTACCCTAACGTACACAAACTATAAAAGCGCATGTCGCTGTTTAATTCTTCACCCCATCTTCACTCTTCTCTCCATCCAATTTACTTTCTTTCTTTTTCCTTTCTTTTTTTTTCTTTTTTTTTTTTGCGAGACATCTTCTTCCCCCTCGCTACAAAGCCCAAGTCATGTTCAGAGCTTTTCTACATAAGTGTTTCATGTCACTCCTTTTCTTCTAAAACACACTTCTCTATTCCGTATGTTCCTGGTCTTATATTTGGGTTTGAGAGTGGATAGGTAACATTAAAGAGCTATCACTTTTCTCTCTGTCATTCCCCTACTTCATACACCATTTGATCTGAAGCCAGATACGGCTTTTTAGATGTAGGCGTGGACACACACTCGCGCGCGCACACACACACACACACACACACGCGCGCATTCACACAAACACAAGTTTGAGCGCAGTCGGCGCGTGCGCTCGCCGCCTGACTGACAGATAAACAATTTTAGGGGATCGCACACTCTCGAGCCTGCAAAAACATTCCTTTATTTTACAAGGCTTTTATTTTTGTGTCGTTCCTCTCAGCCAGACATCAAAAGCGAGAAGCATTTCTTTTCGCATCACACACGAGCACATTCCAATCCTATGCACTCTACAATGCCATTTTGAAAAAACCCCGCCCTCGACAACTTGTGGAATAAGTTGAAGGAATGGAGCATTCAAACAAAAAAAGAAAAAAAAAAAACAAGACGTAAATACACAACAAATACCACCTACAGCCAATAAAATATGCATGGGAGCGTTCAGGTGCCTTTACTGTCAGAATTAATAAGACAACATAAAGAAATAAAAAGACAGTAAGTGGCTGTCTTTTCCACAGGTGTGTCTCTGTGTGGCTTCAGATTCAGTTTCAGCCGTCTTCTATTTTCGCAGCTCGCCGTTTGTGAGTTTTAAAACGGAGCTAGCTGCTCGATTTTGCAAAGTCAAATGTACAACTTGTACATATTAGTCGGAGTGCAGAAAAAAGCAACAAAAAAAAGAAAGATAGAAATCTGCAATTTCCGCAACAAAAAAAAAGCCATCAAAAGGGCGTGCAGGAATTTTCTAAAAGGAAAAGCTTTTACAAGAGAAATTACTTAGAAAAATTGAGTACAAATTATGCGACCCTTGTGAACTCTAAATATTCAAGAACAAAATGTTCTGGCTGTCAAAATTAAAGCACTTAGATTTTAGAGGCACAAAGCTTCTGATATATTAGATCCCAATAACTTTTTCCCTGTTCTCCTGCCTTTGTTCACTCTCTCTCTGATCTGTAATTGAAAAAGCATTCCATTTTTATTTTGCTTTGCTATCCAAAGGCTAAATCCAAAACACCAGCCAAGAGGTTAGCCTGGTCACCTGGCACCCACAGGCGCTCTCTCTCTCTCTCTTTCTCTCTTTTTCCTTCTTTTTCTTTATCACACACACACACACACACACTCACCGACATCCCGATGTGCACACTCGCACACATACCTGACTGCTGTGCTTCAATAAACTGTAAATTCCTCCTCTGCACCCACCATACCCAAGCTAACCCTTTAAAAGTCACCCGCCTCCACCTTGTAATGCATGAACACACTCACCCAGACATGCACATACATACTTACGCACAATCGCGCACAACAGACAAGCCCGAACACACACAAAAAAACAATGTGGCTTAGTGGATGGTATCAAATTTAGTGGCCACGGGGATCTTGCTGGGGTCATAAATCTATATCCAACATGTGAGAAAATCTCTCCATGAATATCTGGAGACGCAGAGGGAGCAGGAGATGGAGAGACAGACAGCGGGATACAGGAGGAGACAGACACAAAGGAGAAAAAAAAAAAGAGGCAGAAAGCAAAGTGAGAGTCTTGCAGAAAAGCAGAGCCACAGACGGAAACGGCACGACCGGGACGCGACGGGCTTGAGCGAAACAAAGCAGGAAATACACAAACTCGCGCAAGATGGTGGCAAAAAACAGGCGACGTTAGTCAGCAGAGAGCCAGGAGAGTGAAATGTGGACGGATACACAGAGCAAGAGTCACAGATATAGAGTCTGACAGTAATAGAGGAAGGCCGAAAGGCAGAGCAGGAGACAGACAGACAGAGAGAGAGCGAGGGAGAGATACATGACCCTCTCACTCTAACAATGGCTCTTCATATGGTGCCCAGCTTAGCAGGCGAGCTGTTGGAATCAAGAATGTGGAATGTGGGATTTTGGACCTGCAAACGACCGCTACTGTCTGTGCGTAGCACGACGGGCTGTGGCAGGGTGTCCCTGGCCCACCATAAAACAAACTGACAATTTGTCTGCTGCGTATCAGCCTGTCGTCGTGTCACTGTGAACAAAAGTGCCGCAACTTTGAGCTCGCCTGTGCCGGACGCATGCGGTATTATCCCGGAATAATCTTTGGAGTTTAATGTTCAGCCAGATTAGTAGAGCAAGTTTCTGCCCTTTTTATGGAGAGAAATTGAATTTTACAAATCCATTTTTTTCCCCATCCCCTGTCATGTAGTGCGACTGTGCCCTGGTCGTCCAACTCTGTGCAGGGAGGCAGCAGGTCTTACTTTAAAATCACAGAACGACACCTGATATGATGCAAAGTGGAATAAATAACTGCAATGTAAAACCACTCAAGCGTGACTTTATTAAAATTCCCCATTTAAAATTGATTTCTGATTTATTTTTGCAACAACCACCAACGGAGTAATAATCTTTCAGAGTAATTAAAAGTTTTATTTTGTTTGCTTTTGGCACTTTTTGTTAAAAACAATTATCCGAGACATGACTCATGTCTAATCTTACATAAATGCACAATACTGGGATGTGAGTGTTTGATATAGATGCTATCTTTTCCTTCCCTAACTGTACTACAAAAGTGGAGCTCTCTTAAATACAGTATTGATATAGACAAAATTGATCATATATTAAAGAATTTTAAAACGTTGAGATAAAAATGCAGCAGGTGAAATTAAATTAGTTTCTAATTTACTCTGTTTATTTTATATGGAGGAAACCAATCAGATTAAGTTGTTGTGCAAGAAAATAACATAATATTTTATTCTATCTTATTCTTAAATAGTGGAAACACAATCAAGTAAAAAAAAAAAAAAAAAGAGAACAGAAAAAGTGAAACAACGAAATTAATATGAAGCTTTTATATTCTCTCTTTAAAAGGCATTGCTATTTTTGGTAATGCACATTTCTACACTCTTTATGCTTCTCTTTATGCTTTATATTTGTTGACTTTACAGAAAATCTTCTGCTTAGTAAATTCCTCAAAATTCAGATCACGTAAGGAACTTGTTCAAAAAGTTTCCCTTCTAAACAGAAAGGGTCATGTTCACACGCAGACACACACACGTACAGCCGATAGCCACCGTCACTCTCTGAAATGAAGCTAACACTCACACACATATTCACTGCAGCCGCTAACACAGGAGACAGTTGTTGTCGGTCGCCCCGATGACTGTCATGGCTGTCAGGCCAAATCCCACGAATTACGGCTGTTCCAGATGTAAGAGATTTCTAAGCTGCCTCCAACGGCCTGCGGTCTATAGTGAGAAAAACAGAGGCGGTAGGGGGGGGAGAGAAAAAGTGAAAGAGGTAAAGAAATTTAAATTCATGCAGCCACACGTGAAAGTTCTTCCTTTCTCTATCCCTGTTTTTGAATCTTTACGCCATCAGAAGTAAAAGCTGCGATTACGCCACATTTTCGTCGGGCAGAGTTTTATTGTGTGCACCACTTATTTGAAATCGCTAATGGATGTGTGGCTTATATTTTCAGTAAAGACAGACCATCAAAGATGATTTTATATTTAAAAATGTGACGGGAAAATTGATGGGTTTTTTTTTTTGGGGGGGGGGCGATTTGCAATACTTTTTTTTTTTTTTTTTCATTTTTTAAAATAGGGTTTGTTCAAATTTTTGCATTTCCCCTTTATGTGAATTTTCACAGAAAGTACCAGTCTGATCAAATTTTCGATGTCCCATTATCACACAGTAGACATTTATTACTGTTAGCTACCGGTTAGTTCAGGGTTGTTTACACCGTGGCAGTGTAGTTTGACCAGAGCAGTAGTTTAATTTCCACACATGCGTGTCAACACTTAAAATTCACCCACCATCATTGTCTTTGTTGTTTTTGGTCCGCCTCTCACTTTTTCTCTCATTAGTACTTCGTAACCAGACAGTTTATTTGAAATTATGAAAGCATTACACTCTCTGATGTAGCAGTTTAAAAATCAATAGTCGAAACCCTAGCTGCCTCACTTAAGCCCTCTCCTATGGCAAAGGGGATGTCTCTTTCTCCCTCTCTCTTAAATGGTAATTTCATTTGCAGTCACTAAGACCTCACCGATAATTACCAATGCCCTGAGAGAGAAAGGCAAGTGAAAGAGAGAAGGGGAGGGATGGGAGACAGGAGAGGGGAAGAGGGAGAGGTGGATTAAGAAAGCAGAGTGAATGCCAGTCATTAGAAAAGCTTTCCTCCTTGGCTGCTTTGATCAGAGTTAAGAGCGCGTTGCCTTCACTCCATCGCTCCCTGACACTAACCTGTGCAATGAAAACATGGGGAATGGAAGGAGAAGGAGGAGCAGGGTGATAGAGGTGAATGAGGAAGAACCAAAGAAGAAGAAGAAGGAAGATCCCTGGAGTCTTAAATAGCAACTCTTGATTCTAAAATTGAGTTCCTCTGTTTTTTTGGGTTGCGCCAGGACCGTCCATTTTCAGAAAGAGCATCACCTTCCACCCCTAACCGCCCCCCTCCCCTCTTCATCTTTCAAATGAACTAATCAGAAAGGGGAATATGAAGTGTCCTGCAGGATCCATTTCTCTGCAAGCATATGGCAATGATTGATGGGGAACAACTTTGACTTTCTCAGGTCATCCTCCCTGCACACATCTGGGAGCACTGCAATAATTCTCCTAATTTTTTGACCTGGTCTCTTCCTTCTGTCTCCTTTCCCCCCCTCTCCTCCACAAACATCAGTTTCACTCTGATGAAAAAAAAAAAAAAGTGGACTCCTCCAAGTTGGTCTCTTTCTCTCTCTCTTTCTTTCTCTCTCCCTTTCCCAAGGCTAACACAAACACTAATTTTAGCAAAAATAAAAGCACCATAGTGGTTTCCAGATGTTTATAAGGGCTGCTGGGGCAATCCCCCCCATTCCTTCCCACTTTTTTTCTTTCTTTTTTTTGTTTTTTTTGTTTTTATTGTTATGTTTGTCTTACCACTACCACTACAAAAAGACTAAATGTGATAGAGCTTTGGTAAATGGCTTTACCATATGTATAATAACTTGTTTATACAGTTTTTGCATCATGGCAAACACCACAAAAGAACCACAACAAATATAATAATAAATGAAACTTAAAGGCATCGCATCTTTTGCAGCCAAAAAAAAACAAAAAAACTAATATCCTTTTACATCCATTTTAGAATAAAGCAGTGTTTTTTGTCTTACATCCTTTGTTTATGCCTTGAACGTTACTTTCATTTAGAATTAACACAAATAATTACAAATAAAAGAAGAGCAATCAGTCACACAAACAGTACATTTGGGTGAACTTCTTGATTAATATGAAAGAGCACCGGAGACATATCCTCCCCCCCTCCTCCACACACCAGCGACAGCAACTGGACCTTGTTAGCTGTAGCATAGAAATCATCTCTGACTCCGACTTTACAATAACACAGAGGAACTTCAACCGCTAAATGTTTTTGGGAAACCCAGCCGTCCTCCTGCTGCCATGTGATGATCCCACCTCTGAAATATTCAGCCCCATTAACATTCCGATGGGTATCATCCCCTTTCAGACACAATTCGCTTTGCTCCTCAGACCTGTGGGCCAAGCCAGGGAGAGGCCTGGAGCAGATGTTATCTGTCCTCATTCCTCACAAAGACCTCTACTGCTCCAAATAAACACTGCGAGCATTACACTTTGGTGTAAGGGAGACGGTACAAGAACAGGTGACACAATGACTTTAAGAAAAAAAAAAAAAAAAAAAAAAGAAAATCAGTGGATATAATTTCTATTTTTTTTTTGTAAAACTTTATGATTTTGAGATATGCAATTTGATGTCGTATTTTTCTTGGGTTCTGTATCTGCTTTTGGACAACATATGTAGCTCAGTAACTCTACCAATGTTAAAGTGCACAGGTCGATAAAAAGCAAATGCTGTTTCAATCTGGGTCGACTGACCTCTCAACCAAGACGCAGACCATTTCAGTGTTTAGACTTTAACAGAATGCTGTGTGATTTGGTGCAATTTGATACTGTAAAAAAAAAAAAAAAGAAAAAAGACCTACGCTGGTGTTTTTGAAAGACTCACTGCACTTATCTTCCCAAACAGTAGGGGTCACAACTTGGAAAGATAATACTTTTCCAAGATGCACACAAGAAAGGCCAGCAGCAGCAGAAGAACACTCCCAGTTCAAGATTCCCTTCTCTGCACCTGGGACCAGTGTAGTTATCATCGTTCTCTCACTTTGCCGTTAGCAGTTTCTGACCAATTACACAATAGTTTTGCATGCAAAGGAGCGAGAAAAGTTCACCAGTTGGGCTGTGACAAAGAGGATTGGATAACAAGAGGCTCAGGTCAAAATGCATGGATTTTCATCATGCAAATTCTACGACGAGCGCCAATTTTGGCACAGTTCAAGGTCAGTTGCATACGCTCTAATTAAATCTTGCCTATTAAGCAATCAAGTTCAATTGATCATTCAAAGTGGAGTCATTGGATATCTCGATAATGTTGATGCCATCTATTTTGTCAAGTGCACCTCACCATCACATTTTGTAAAGAAGCCATAACTAGTAATTCTACCAGCACCAAACATTGGAATGCTGCTGCGAGATTCCCCATTTTTCCTCCAAATATAACAAATGGTTTTGATGGCCAAAAACTTCAATTCCCAGACCCTCTCTCAAGAAAAAAACAAAAAACAAAAAAAAATATATATATATATATATACACACAAATTTTTGTTAAGTGCATGTATAAATGTAACCCAGCATTTTAGGTTGCTTTTCAGAATATGGCTTCTTCTTGGCTGAGTGGCCTCTAAGGTCATGTCAGTAGAAGACTTGTTTTAATGTGACTCTCTTACCATCATGAGTCACCAGTCTCAAAGGGCCTGAAGCCAATACACAGATTCTTTACCAAAACACTGCCTTACTTATGAACAGTGTGGACACGCCCGTGTTGTTTAAAGTTATAACATTCTGATTTTGAAGAAAGTAATAAAAACTATAGCTTTTCTCCTTCAATGTTTTGGCATTTAGTAGATAACTTTAGTAAACCCAACTGACCTAAAACAGAAAATGTTTTCTCTGATTTAATGTCAGTAAGGGAAAAACAGCCTATCATTTTTATACAATGTGCCTAAACATCTGGTTTTAGCTGTTGAACTGATACTTTGCTGCTCGTCACAAGCGGCCAGTGGCTAAATTATTTACTCAGCAGCATGCAACACTGCACAGACATTCAGTCACAAACATAACTTTCATCTTTTCACAATAACGGATCAGATTTTGCTTTCGTAAGCGTCAAATGTGGTTGGTGTTAATTGCTGATGATGTAACTACGCCGGCAAACTGCCAATCGCAGGGTGCTCTTTGAACATCCAACCGTTTTCACCATTAAGCCCTGCAGCTGAGCTGCCAAGAATTAGCCAGGCGTGTGTGTCTGTTTGTTAATCATTTGTGATCATGTGAGAGACAGACTACACTTTGAGCTCAATTAGCCAGGCATTTAGGCGTCTTAATTGGCGACTTTCGATCTCAGGCTCTTGCTGATGAACCACTTAGCTGCAGACTTATGGATTAGCATCCCGGAAAGCTCTCTGTTCTCAGATGTATCTAACAGGTCAGGAATTAGTGTTCTTAACTCTGACTTACAAATGAAGACAGCAGTATTGACTCGCGTGGAAAACTCTCTTTGCTTCCACTTCGCCGTATCCAAACACACTCCGCCATTGAAGTTTCTCCTGCCTCCTCCTCTTATCATCCCCATGTCATGCATTTTCTCTTCTTATCAGCAGAGATGAGCTTCTGTTTGAATTTTTTTTTTTTTTTTTTTTTTTTTTTTTTTTTCTGGAGAAAATTACACGCACAATGTCTCACAATTTGGCAGTTTTGTCGTCATGGCGCGGAAGGCGTCCCTCGTCATCTGTGCAACATGCGCCGCGGCTCATGGGAGCCTCGTAAATGTCATGTATTGACGGAGCCGCTCTGGAGAGCAGGAAGTCCTTGCCAAAAAGAAGATAGATAGAGCGCCACTGGTGTTGAGGATGCCATGCTGTATTAAATCATTTCTTTTGCACCATGTGTTGTCTACATGTACAGTGACGGCACTTGTGTTTTCACAAGCGGCTGTTCATGGTGTTACCACAAACACAGATAAGCAGATATTACAGATGTTTTGAGTAAACCGTTCTCCCGCTGTTGCCGCTTTTCTCTTGCCCTGTTCTTGCACCGTTCAATAAGCAGTCCTTGCATCCCGCCCTCCGTAGGTGTGTCATTTGTTTTCTTTCTTTTTTTTTTGCCACACTTCCTCCTCCCCAGGTCATTGTCATATACTTGGGCCTTCTGAGCAGGGAGGCTTTAAGCAGCAGAGACAGCACTTGTCCGTTAGATTTGCATGTCCCCCAACATCACATGTCCGGCCTTGCACACATCACCAACTTGTCTGGAGGTGAATGTCGAGGTTCATTAGAAAATGCCCAGATTCAAGGAAATTTGTCAAAAGGTAGACAAAAGCGCCTGTGATGCATGACGTGTGGTTTCCAAGAAGATGGGAGCGCAAATTTGATTTGACTCTGTGCGAATGCTGGAATAAAAAAAGGAGTTTTTTGTCAAAAAAAAAAAAAAAAGAAAAGAAAAAAACCCTGCAGTTTTAAATGCAATACATTTAAATTACGTTTTTTTTTTAATTATTATTATTATTTCTAATCAACAAAGCAAAACCTGGTCAAGGCAAGGGCCTGTCGGCCTTTCAAACACCCCTGCGATATCTAGATATCGGGGGACCTCAGAGTTATTGTGGGAATCAGAATTTATGATGAGTAAATTGGGCTTCTTCATCTGTGTGCCGGGGGGTTTGCCACATGCTGCCGAGATGGCTTGACTTATTGATTACAGGGAGTAGTATGCCCCATTTCAAAGGGATGGAGAGCCCCCGCCACGCAACTTCTGAGAATTAATTTGCCTGGCATGGGCCTTCATGAGAAACACATGTCCGTACACACACAAACGCAAGCGCAGACGTAAACAAGCACACAGTATCCAAAGCCTTCAGGTAAAAGAATCACCCCTTCCCATCCAAAATATATATATATAAAAAAAAACAAGGAAAAAAATATACCCTACGCATCCATTCAGCCCTTTTTGCCCTCACCAACACGAACATAAATAAAAGGAGTTTTTAATAGTAGTGAAGATTGTGCAAAGCATGTGACAAAACTTATCTATGTTCTATCCTCTAACCTCCTCCTGCTGTATAGCAACAAAAAATTTAAGTGTCTTTTTTATAGTTTTTTTTCTTTTGCTTGTTTCTGCATTTATTCTCTCTGCATTTATGCATTTCTTCTTTTTTTTTTTTTGTAAATGAATAATATCTGTAAGTAGATTCCTGCAGTTGGTTACTACTGTTTCCTGTTTCAGATTTGTAAATAATGAATATATCCGAAGAATAAGAAAATTCAGCCTTGCTCTTTCCAAACACTGTATAAAGAACCGTTTTCCTGTGTGTGTGCGTGTGCCCATGCGTGTGTGTGTGTGTGTGTGTGTGTGCATGGTGTACCATCTGCAGTAACTGTTCTGGAAGAAAATCTAACACAGTTTCAGCCAAAGTACTTCTCCAGGCCGGCAGAGTCACAGCTGAACTATCAGTGGTTCATCCCTGGCATTGTCCACTTTATCACCCTCTGCCCTCAGACACCAGCTCCTATTTCACCAGCAGCACCCGTGCTAATTTATCATCGCCGTCTTGACAGACAACACATCTGTGTGTGTGAACGGATTAAGTGAGGAAAAGTGTAAGAGGGACAACGGGGGCAGAAATGGGGAAGAGTAGGAGGAAATATGGTAGCTAGGAGGATTCCAGCCCTTACAAACAGCCCTTTTAAAGGGTCATATTTTGTTTGAAGGGCCCCCTCCTACCCTTCACTCGACCTCTTCCCTATCCCTCCTGCCTCCACGCTCATAACACAATGTCAGCTAACCCCCTCGGCAACTGGACAGCTCATTGTCTTGGGCTATCTTATATTACAGCCCATATACCGCAAGTGGGATATGGAACAGAATTAAAGAGCTTAAGGAGTGAGCTGAGAACGTAGACCTGCAGAGGTTTATATCACCATATAAAACCGTACCTTCGCAGGCCGTGAAAGGGCACGTCCGTGACGACCATTCTTTTTTTTTTTTTTTTTTTTGTTGACTGTCCTCCCCGAAACATTCTTTTTTTTTTTTTTACATTCATTGACTGAATGACGCCGCTGCGTTTGTCAGCATGCCAAAGGCGTGCAGATACCCCTAGCGGTGAAGATTGATGGCTGAGAGAGGTTAAAATACACACGGACAACAGATGGGGGAGACACGCACTACAACTCTCGTGTTCACACGTCCCGTGTCCGCATCCCGTGCTGCCTTTTTTTTTTTTTTTTTTGGGGGGGCCCATACATAACGACGAGACGGCAGGTGCGCACATACACGCGTTCTCATGTGTGTGTTCAAGCAAGCATATCTGTTTACTTTTAGCCTCCAAAAACCCATTCACATTTGAATGCAGGAGACAGGACACATCTCTCTGCTCTGTGAGCCGCTAGACAGCTCAGTCAGAATATTTTAGCATGCACACACACACACGCTTACATATTTCACCCCCATGCATACACACACGCACGCACACACGCATGCACACTTCCCCGGGGTACCCCCGTTTGCAGAGCCTGGGGAGTGCAAAATGGAACTTTTTAAAAGCCAAAAACATTTCTCCTGAACAAACTAGTCTTGCTTAATAATACCACGCTCATGTTTCTCTCCTCTCTCACGACAGGCTGTCATTATCTACAAGAGCTTGGTGTTTCGACTGTGTTTTAGAGAACGGTTTTGGTTGTTGTTTTAGCATCTGAAAGCCTCGCTACACGACAGACGGCAAATAGACTCTAAACTATTTGGAATCTGTGCATCAGCAAATGCATTTTGCTACTGAAATGAAAAGAAGGAAGAAGTTGGGGGAATTGCGGATTTAGCGCGAAGACAGGGGCACTTGCAAACTCTCGAGACATTTGAGTTTCTGAATTGCTGATTTTTGGACCTGCAGTACGTGGTGCAATGTATTTATGTCCTTTATTTTGGGGGGAATCAAGAAGAATGTGTGTTAAGTTGGGTTTTTTTTTATACGTGTGAGTGTTTTTTTTTCTTTCTTCTTTTTTTAAGGTGAGTAAAATTAAGTTTTGTGCACACACACACACACACACAAAAAAAAACAAATGCACAGAGCCCAGATCCGCAGCCACTGTTTATACAGGCACAAATGCAGCTTCTGCTCTTATGAAGATAAATATGGCAAGGCGTAGATTTTCACCCACACCTACTGAACGGGACACATGCATTCATCTTTGCTGTAGGTTGTGTTTTCGGATTTGTGTGTGCGTGTGCGTGTGCTTTTGTGTGTGCTGGGGCCATGTTGGGGATACAGCAGCGAGGGTGTGCGCACCTCACTGCCTTTGCAATGTATGGAAATGTATGTGCATTTTTAAAGTAGGAGGGGGGGGGGGCGAAATTTATTTCTCTCTCGCCCCCCATGCACCCTTCGAGCCCCTTCCTCTTCCTCCACACCTCATTCCCAAAGCTGATAGACCTATGGATGCATGATAGATGGGGGGAGAGAGAGAGAGAGAGAAATGAAGGGGGTCTCTGCATGGATGCATACATACACGCATGCATAGATGTATATAACACCCCCATTCCCCCTTTTCCTCTCAAGCGCACACTATAAAGTCTCTAACATGCACCTTTGCATACAAAAGCACACCTCTGAATGCAGGACTCATGCGCATACCAAACATAATCCATAGTTTTACATAATAGGGAGGAGAAAAAAGGGGAGGCAAGTCAACTCCTGTGGTAGGGTGATAAAGATAATATGAATCATCTGACTCTTTCTCTTTCTCCCTGTATGTATACACATTCACCCAGAGAGATGCTGATATGCTATAGAGGAATATAATGAGATATGTAGAAGGTTCCCCCCCAACTCCCTCCATCTGCATCCCCCCCGCCCCCTTCTGATCCTCCAGAACACATGTGGGTCATGTGTGTGCTTTGTCCATTTTCCACAATGTTTAAGGATTATGCTTCACGGTGTACTGAGATTTAAGTAAATTGCCCCAAGTGGAAGTTATATTTGCGAGTAAACCACTGCACCATCTCTGTGTGTTACATGGATGCAACCGCAGAAACACGGACTGCGTTGTTCTGATGAGCCACTGATTGATTCTATGCACATTTGATAAAGTGCAGTGTTTGTTTGTCTCCAGAATAAATTAAGTAAAAAAGTATCAGATACACTGTCTTTGCAAGCACAAGAAAAGAGGACTTGCTGTTAATTATTCACAAAAAAAAAAAAAAAGTTAATTTTTGGAATCTAATTAAAGGCATTTAACCATCGGGGACAGAGCGAGATCAAAGATGTATATTTGATGTCATGCAGATAGCATTTTTAAATTAGCAAACCCTCTTAACTTTATAATTATCTTTGCTGGGAGAAATGAAGCAGGAAGTTCCTTTGTGTTAATTCTGGGATTCAAACAGTCTCCTAAGAAATAGATGAAATTAATTAGAAATAATTACAGATGGTCATGCAGTCTGCATTTCCAATGCAATGAATCATATGTAGAGCAAAAAGAAAAAAAAAAAATTTAGTGGGTTTATTCTGTTATAACTTAAATATATGAGAAACAGGTCATATGAAATGAAACATTTAACTTTTCTTTTTTTTTTTTCAAAGATATGGAGTGCAAATTTTTAATGAATCGAAATCCAAAAACTTTTCATTCATATGTATTTTATACACACCAAAAAAAAAATTTGCAAAATGCCTGGCAGTTATCGCTGAGGGAATTTTTTATTTTTTATTTTTGGATTCGTGTCTCAGCTACTGTCCGTTTGCACTCTCTTTCAGGGTTGTTGCTGAAGCCGACAAACATGCAACAAATGTCCAGATGTGTCAGAAAAAAAGAAAATACTGAAGAGTGCGTGCGTGCGTGCGTGCGTGCGTGCGTGCGTGCGTGCGTGCGTGCGTGCGTGTGTGTGTGTGTTTGTATGTGTAAAGGAGAAAGAGGAAGAAGCAGATGGGATGAATTCTGCCTTCTTGCATTAGCAGTCCCACCGGAAAGACACTGCTGTCTTTGTACTGAAAATCAAAGCTATAAGGCCAAGCTGGATATTTTGTCCTCCGTTTTGATTACGGGCAAAAACAATTATTACTTATTTACCAATTAAATGGACTTCTTGTTTCTGAAATCACATCATGCGGAAAAGTGAGGGTGCTTTCGTATGCCATGAACTACGGCTCCGTCTCTTTGCTTTGCTTGAATACGGTTGGCTTTTTTGTAACGCCGGTGCACAAGGATGTATGCCTGCAGGTGTCCATGCCTCATGTGTTTATAGTCTCAGGAAGCTGTTGACCTAGTCCTCGCCTCCCCCACCACAACCACCACGTGTGTTTGTAGGAGATCCCTTGAACCTGACAACGGTGGGAGAGGGGAGGTGGAACTGGAGCCAAGACTTTGAACAAACCATTCTGATGGACAACAGGACCAAGAGGGGCTGGGCTGAACAGGGGAGGCAAGGGAAGGTAGAA